AAGCTTGTCACGGCTCGATCTTACAAGAATACTGTAGTTATACTATATTTTAGAGTATTATGGTTGGACTTGTCGAATTTCTGTCGTTTTTTTAATTATGTACATGCATTTTGTTTTGAGTTTAAAACACCAACCATTTTTCACCCCAGAAGAAATTCCGCTTCTAATATTTCTTAGTTTATAGCTGGGAAAGCGGGAAATTTTTAATAGTTTATGAGAATGATGATTTAGTGATCCACATGACATTTTGTTCCAGAGCCCTTGATAGTATAATTTTTTGGTTTAAAAAATTTCGGTTCGTCTTAATTAGGCAACATGGGGTATCCAATCAGATTTTGCTATGTAAACTTGGCCAGGAAAAATTTTTTATATAAAGTGACATACCCTGAAGTTGGCCGTGGCTTCTCCCCCGCCTTTTTTCTTTCTACCTTTGCCTTTGTTCCAACAAAATAAAAAAAAAAAAAAAATAAAAAAAGTTAAAAAATAAAAACCAAAAAAATATTCATTTCACGCCTCTTATTTCTATTAGAAAAAAAAATTCCTTTTAATAAGGTTTCACCTAGATTAAAAGCTATATCAAGATCCCTACATCCTTTGTTACGATCCTTAACCCCAACGACACTTAAAAAAAAATCCATCATGTCCGCAGCAGTCACCACCTCCTCAACCAATGCTCCCGGCGTTCCAGGAATGTCAAATCCCGCAACACAACTCACTATGGAACAACAACAAATTGCTGCCCAAGCTCAATTTGGTGTTGGTGTTCCTCCTGCAGCCCCTCAAGCCTCTGCCTCGCTTTACGTCGGTGAGCTGGATCCCTCCGTCACTGAGGCTATGCTTTTTGAAATGTTTAGTACGGTCGGTCCAGTCGCAAGGTATTAAGATTATATTATTATTTTTGCACTTTCTGTTGTCAATTGATTAATTTGTAAGTTTGTTTCATAACCATTTGTTTTCTTTAGTATTCGTGTGTGTAGAGATGCCGTTACCAGAAGATCTCTTGGATATGCATACGTCAATTTCCACAATGTCCTCGATGGTACGTTTCTTGATATATATATAAATATATATATATATATATATATATTTTTTTTTTTTTTTTGATCTCAAAAAGCATATTTGTCAGAATTATTTAAGAACGTAGTAAAACCATTTAACAGATATACTAGTACATATATTACGTTTTTATTCATGCTTTTTAACTTATTATATAGTTTCAAACTATAAATCAACAATTTCATGGAAATAAATCAAATTATTGATGATTTTTTGCTAATATAAAAGTTAATCATTAATTTTTGTAGGTGAACGTGCTCTTGAAAGTTTGAATT